CCCCAAAACCCCAAAACCCCAAAACCCCAAAACCCCAAAACCCCAACTAATTTTGTATTAATTGAATAAAATATCATCAATCATGAATTTCAAATCTGAATTGGTCTCAATTGAAAATAGCACTGATAGAACTTCAGTAGTAGAGCACAAGAAAAACTTGCTATTGTACCAGACCAATCTTGAAAATGAAGAACTCGACTTTCTGGGTACTCAGGTGTGAGCATCTAGAAATCATGGAAGCAAAATTTACTTGAACTCAAAAGAAAATATTTTTAGAAGAAACAGAACTATTTGAACAAATACAAACTCTAAATCAATAAGTTTTTGACAGAAATCTAAATAAAACTCGTGGTTCACGTAAGATGCAGTGTTACGAGAGAGTTGACACCAGATAGCAAGCACTCTTGTGCCGCAAATAAAGGTCCTAAGTCGATTTTCTTGTAAACACTTATAATCCCTGTAGCCGAAATAGTCAAGAATTACTCATTTGGAACCCTCCCTTTTCATCACCCTGTGGTGACTCAGAACAAAGACACAGTAGACACAGACTCCAAGCCTAAAAATAATTACTCTCGAGAGCAGAGGAAAAGAACAGAAGAATTTGATGTTATTTCTGTGAGTGCCTCCATTGTTTCTCAAGATTTCAATACTTCCTTTCCAAAAGACGATAGGAGTCTCAAAATTGAGGATTATTCTCGAATCCAAGAGAACAGCACGGTCAATATCGATGACATCAGAAGACTGAAGACCAGCTATGGTCAAAGAATAAAATTAAACACTAAGAAAAATGATCTAAACCCTGACTTACTAGACTCAAACTTTATTGAACCTCTTATCCGGAAGAGCCAGACATTATCTCGCTCTAATCTCAATCAACCCAATCTGCTCAGGCCCAACCTTCAAAGCCAAAATTGCTCGAACCCAGGCCTTATTGCTAATCTTTCCAAACAGGCCACCCTAAAATCTCCATCTAAGCAAGACCCCAAAAATGACCCAAAAGAGGACAGACTTTTCAAGAAACTTCAATATTGAGATACCAAGAAAATCCGTGAAGAATTTAAAAGTACGTACTTGTGCTTCTATTCCATGCCTATTAACTCCAAATACTATTTCCCCCTCCCTAATCCCAGCCAACACTCCTATTTCTCCATAATCCTGCCCCATAAGCCCTCCCTCATCCACCCCTCTTCCCCCCTATCCTCTCCTTCCAACCCCCATCTCACTTCCTCTAGAAATAACCAACAGTATAAAAGCCACACAAAAATCTTCAAAAATTAGGTGAGTAGTGAAAGGTCGAAATTGGTGTAATTGGGCGATTATGTGTTGATACTGCTTTGTAATTATTGTTGTTTAATAATGTAAACTATCTTCAATACCTATCGTTTATAGAAAATTTAAGAGGTCATCACATGCTAGGAAAATTCGCAATAATTTAAAGTTGAGCAAAAGAATGAAGATAAATATTAAGCCATTTGCAAGTACATTCTCAGAAATGTATAGTAGTGCAGATGCTTTAACTTCTTTTAAAATGCATAAGTCCTTCTTGAGTTCAAAATATATTGCTCCTAGCTATCTGTCAAAAGCAACTCAAAGAGAATGAGCATTACCTGATTACCTAAAATCAAAGCATTGTACTCTAGAAGATGAGCTTGACCCTCAGAAAATTCAGTCAACTAAGGCTTATAGCTTTATGAGAGCAAAGAGGGTAAACTACTTTGAAGAAGGAAAGACTCATAAAATAGATATATCTGGGTAAGTTAATTCATTTTATAAGTCTTAGGCAAGAGTCAACTGAAATGAACCCAATAGAGTCGAAAGAAATTATCAAATCTATAAAAACTCATTTAAAATCTGGATATTCATTTTCTAGAGCTGGTCAAGAATTTGGTGCTACTTATGGCACTAGGAATTATGATCCTCGCTTGATCGATCAGAAAATGACTCCTTCACCAGGAGCATATTTTACATAATCAAGATTCTTCAATAATTTAGCAGAAAGTAGGGGTTTTGGGGTTTTGGGGTTTTGGGGTTTTGGGGTTTTGGGG